CCAAAGGCTACAGGGGCCTATTCGCCTCTATGCTTTGGTCCGACTGGAACCATTCTATCCTTTGGTACCGGAACATTACTATTAGGGTTGTGCCCTCTTAGGGCTCTAACTATGACGGCGAGGGTGAATTGATGCACTACGTGCCATCAGAAAAATCATTCGAAAATAAATTACTTCATAGAAAGCGAGCTCTATAAAACAGTTCAGAAGGAGAAGCTCTGATCGGTGGAACAAGAAATTTATTAGCTTGACGATTCAGATTCTCGCTTGAACGTATTTCTGCTACTTTCTCTGGTGACTGGTTCGACTGACAATCGAAGACGTCAGGCTAGTAAACTTCTTGATCCAATGACCATGCCTTCTCCTCCAGAAATCACTTCACTTGATAACTAACGGAATTCTGACCTAATATGTCACAATGCACACACAGTTCAGAAACGGTCGACGCGTCGATTGATGCGATCTGCATTGACTTCATCAAAGCATTCGACAGGGTTTCTCACAGACGACTGATCCCGAAGCTGCATCAAATGAGTTTGACTGGCAATGTGCTCAAGGTATTAGCCGAGCCTCTAACAGGCAGGCGTCAGCTTGTTTTTACTTGAAACAACAAATTCAAATTGAAAACCGGTCACAGTGCGGTTCGGCAAGGTAGCTTTCTGGGTCCCATTATTTTTCATATACATGTGAACGACTGATTTGATTTCCTCACCTGTGGAAATGTAATGTTCGCTGGTAATCTGAAATTATGGATTTTAATCGAAGGTTCTTAGGGTGCCCAGATCTTACCAAATAACTTGCAAAAATCATTCCATTACATTGCACCAGCCATATTTGGTCATGTAAAGCTCCGCATGGCGAAACGGCGCGATGACGTGCTTTGGCGTGGTGTGTATTACGATCGCGCTGTCTGGCCACGCCTAGTAGACCTTTTTTGATCGGGCCTTGACCTCGTAGCTGCGACCACAGCCTTTGTGGCTGTCGGTTATCGTAGTACCAGTAGCGTATCGAACTCCCCCATCCCCTCTTAGCGTCAACAGCAGCGACAAATAAATGAATATGTCTTCACTCGCAATTTCTTTCTCGCATAAAGAGGAAGTGAACGAAAAGCGTACTTGCTTTCTTTCATAGAGAGGAAGTGGCCGAAATTTTAAAAATGAAACGTTTATTGAGTAGATGCACGTAAAAGTTTTTTGAGATATTTTTACAAACCTCCACTCATTGTTCAGGGGAATTTATACAGTTTCCGATTCAAAGGCAAGGGCTCACTTTCACTGGCCATTGGCAGTTCCTGTAGAGGCAAAAAAACTTATAAGACAAACAAGATGAGAGAAAAACAGAAAAAGTTGATGATAACTAGTAGTTATTACATATTACAGTTAGATCTAAATACACATGATTCATATAAGCGGTAAGGTTACACGTGAACTTGCCGCTTCCTTGGCCGGGGATTGTTGTGGGCATGTAGAGTCATCGGTGAGGACACTTGTATTGCATGTGGACGATAATTCAAGGACAAGTTTTGTACCGGCTGGATTTCGCGCCGGCGTTTCGACTGCCCTTCATAGCGGTCCCTCGATCCATGGAATCAGTTTATGGCCGCTTGTCGTACTGCAGCAATACTGCAGTTACTATACCGCCTATTCGGTCCGGCAGAATCTTTGCGGTTCACTAAATATAAATTAGACCTATCTTTGAGGATCGGAAACAAAGGATAAGCAATGAATAACCACTGGTCCTTTGCCCCCGAGCCCAGCAGAAGGTATGGCAGAGTGATGGGTACAGTATGACAGTCTGCAGATTTCAAATGAGGTCT